TTTGGGTGATTCTCTTATTTCTTGGAAAAGTAAGAAACAATCTATTGTTTCTCAATCTTCCACCGAAGCAGAATATCGTGCTATGGCATCTACTACTAAAGATATTGTTTGGTTACGTTGGTTACTTGCAGATATGGGAGTTTTTCTTTCTCATCCCACTCCTATGTATTGCGACAACCAAAGTTCTATTCAGATTGCTCACAACTCGATTTTTCATGAACGAACTAAGCACATTGAGATCGATTGTCATCTTACTCGTCATCATCTCAAGCATGGCACAATCACTTTGCCCTTCGTTTCTTCTTCTTTGCAGCTTGCAGATTTTTTTACCAAGTTGCATTCTATTTCTCGTTTTCATTTTCTAGTTGGCAAACTCTCGATGCTTGTAGCTGCCGCATCGTGAATCTGAGGGGAGATGTTAAGAAATATAGAATTATTCATTATTTATTAAGGGTAGAATAATCCTTTTTAGTTTCATTTATTTAGCCTATATATATTCTCTTTGTATTTAGGTTAAACAATCTTTTAGCATTCAATTAATTACGTAGTATCAATGAAACCCTGTCTATCTTTTGTCTTTTTTGACCCCTTGTAATCTTCTACTTCTTCAAGACTTCTCCAAAAGAGACAACTAACTCCAATTTTACCTCCAAAACAGAATTCGGGTCACACTGAAATTATAGCACTTAGTATAGTAGATTATAGTTTAGAATTGTCTACAGCTTTTGATAAGGATAAAAATAAATGATATCCAACATCATCACGGCGATATAACATATTACTGACTCATGGATTTATTAATATAGAAACATCGATCTCTAAAATTTTGTTCACAATAGACGCCTCCTCCTACTGAGGTATGGAGTGCAAGATAAAGCCTTCAACGAAGACATGCAACTGTTTAATAAGTCATTTCGTGGTTGAGCATTGCAAGACAATAAATTTGAAGAGTATCGTCTAGACACATAATTGCATGATAGCCTTAAAATGAGGCGTAGATTGTTTGCACTATGTCAACACACGTAATTGCATACATGAGGTGTAGACTGCTTGAACATTGTCGACATAAGTTTTATATTAGGTATTATGTGGATATCTTAGCCATGTTTGCCTTGAAAAATTAAAAGAATTCAATAACTAGACATTAAGATGTCAAATATGTTTTAACGATACAGCATAATGTATGTAATTTTTTCATAGCTCATTAACCAAAGAAAATACATTTTATGAAGGCTAATAGAAACTTTAGTTTAATCTGTGTCGCTTCACGCGGTTCCCATTTTGATTGGCCGATAGAAAGAATTTCATCATAATTTTAACACACCTAACGTTTCAATTAATTGCTTTTTTCTTTTATTTTATTTATTTATTTATTTATTTATTTTGAAGAATGCATAGTTAAAAAGTTTGGAATAGTTGTGGGTCCACGTGTAAGATTATTTTATTGGAAGAATGTGGAAGTCGAAAATAATTTTGGAAAAATTTGAGTTTAAAATATCTATACAAAATAGGAGCTAAATGAACATTGTTTAGAAAATTCATCTTCAACACAATCTAAAAATGACTGTCAAATTCATCAACAAATAAAATAAAAATTCAGACATTGTTTTGAGCTCTTTTAAGCTGTGTTGTATATGATAACTTAACAAAATTTATATTTTCTATGCTGATTTATATTTCTCAATCAAATTTACATGTGGTTCAGTTTCTATATATACTCATTCAATTTTGACTAGTCACATTATATTTTCATACCAAGCAAAGACTGAATTGTTGGACCTCAAAATTTCAGAGTTTTTCATTTGGGCTATCATTGTTAAAAGTGTATTTTATACACTTATTCAGGGCCTTAAATAGAGATATTTAGTTGTTTCTCTGGTGAAATATAGTTTAAATTATTCTATTTTTTTATTAAATAGATAAAATCCAATGGTTGAACAAGAAATTGAAAGAAACAAAAGGAAAACCCATAAAAAGAATGAAATAAAAAAGATGGGGACCAAGTTGCAAATAATTCGTGGATGAGAGGAGCGATGAAATGAAGATCGAAGATGTCAAAACTTTAATTGGATACAATTGAAAGATAAATTAACAAGATTATAAGAGAAAATTGCTGAAATAAAGCAAAATCAAAGTTTGAGGACTAAAATCCAAATATTGAAAGTTGTGTCAAATCTTATGATGAAGATTCGAGAGTGTTAGGAGCCAATCGGATGAGGAAAGAATTCAAATGGATGAAACATAATCGAAATATTATCACATATCAACTTTTAGACGAAAAAGTTATGCTTTAGATTTTAAGTTTCTATTTGAGATCCATTTTTGGCATAGCAAATGCTCGAATTGGAAAAATGATATTTTTGAAAGAATTATAACCCTTTGAGTTATCTTTCCAATACACTTTGAATCACTTAATCGGATAGCAAGAGAGAAATATATGACCAAAATGCTAAAGTTGTCCAATGATAAAAATGCGATTGCATAGTTTAAAATCCATGTGGTCACATCCACACATGCAAGGAGGAATTTGGAGTTCAACAAGTAAACTATGCGGTTGCATCTCATTGTACTACGCGATCGCATAGTACAAGATTTCAGCTGAATCTCAAGTTTCCTTATACGATTAAAACTCAACTTGGCAAAGTTTTGGACGATATACGATTAAAACTCTTATTATGAGATTTTTGATTTGAATAATTGATTTGACATTAATTTGTTTGGATGCTTGGATGTTTATCATGGTTTAAATTGCTTTTCAATTATTTGGTCACTTAGTTGAATTGTTTGTGAATTCTATTATCATCGAAACAAATATAGGATCGATAACATATGGTGATGAACATTGTAAGGTTTGACAGATGATAGAAATATACCAGTATGCTTCACATGATATTTATGGATGTTTTAACTCATTTAATGCTTTCTTGCATGGAGTACCTTTCATAGGGTTATAGGAATGACACACATAAGATTATATTTAATTGCTATCGAGAGAAATTTTTAATTAAAATAGGAACATTAACCAACATGATTCATTTCGAATTGTCATTTTAAATAGTAGAACTAAAAGTGGATTAACAAGGGAATTCTCCATCTTGACAATTCATCTCACGAATTTGATAAATTTTTATTTGCTTTTAAGTTAGTTGATAAAATTGGACATTGAATTGCTACAATTCTATATTGTTATTCAACTACGAGTATTAATAGCTTTAACTCGATCGAACGCATGGTCCTCGTGGATTTGACACTTCATTCACCATTATATTACTTGATTATGATTCCGTGCACTTGCAAATTTTCAAATGGTCAAATGTCATGCTAGTTTAAAGACATGGTGACTTGGTAACATTCTTAACTACTCTAATTTTGCTTAGTGATTTCAATTTTTTTCCAAAGAAAATTATGTGTGTGATTTGTGAAAAGAGATCCATCTATTTCTAGTCCTCATTCTTTTCGATCTATACCTGAACGATATTTAAAGGGGAAAAATCACATATTATAAATACTGAACATTAGGCAAAAGTACACTAAAATTATTGGCTCTAGAAATTACTCTTATTTTTTGGTCACTGAAACTCAATAATCTGATCATTATTTACAATTCCTCGTTATTCCCTCATTTGAAAACCCCATGAAAAATTCAAAAAACAACATTGAAAATGAAACATTGTGTGGGTTCGTTGAACTGCTAGATAAGATACCCTTTTTTCTTCTGGACATGGGTTTTATACAAATTCAAATTAAGGACACAATCTGAGTGTTTAAAAAACAATGAGAACTTGGTAATTATGGATCCATTATATTTATGAGCTATTGGTGTCAAGTTTAAATTATGTAACGTTATTCAGGAATAACATCTGATAAATATATTGTATTTTGATCATTGAAGAATGTACTGAGAAAAAAATTACAATTATGAAACATCTACCTTGTGTATAATGGACTTATATAGGGTGTCTAGTGATAGCACTAAAAGTCTGTTTAATTGCAAAGATGGAATTAAATTGGGTGGAAAACGAATTCCAGGGAATTGAATTGCCTAGAATTGTTTTCCTGGGAATTGTAAATTATTGTGTTTGATTGGTATAATTTTTCACGTGAAAAATGTTGAAATAAAAGTATTTTTTTATGTTCGTTTGACTTTGTTTTATATGAAAATTGTCAATTAAAATGATAGAATTTACTGGTATTAGGGATCACATAGGTTTCCATCGCCAAAAAGCCAAAAAAATAAATAAATAAATAAATAAAAAATTCAAAAAAATCATCTATTTTTTAGTATTTGTTTGACTTTGTTTTACATAAAAATTATCAATGAAAGAGAAATATTTTTTTATAATAATTTTTAGAATTGGTTTCCACTGTCTAAAAAAAAAGAAAAAAAAATCGCTACAGTAGCCGGGCATTCCAATTCTCACCATATATGATGAGAATTGGAATTCCACCAAATCAAGGAATAGCACAACTTCCAATAAAAACTGGAAACCAATTTCTTGAAAAATCTTGTGAATCAATCACTACATTTTAGGTTTCCACCCATTTCAATGGAATTGGGTGAATCAAACACTACCTAAGATTTTTTTGGTACTTGGAATTCAGGCAACCCAGTATCATAAGATTTATGGTAACTGCAGTCCAACATCACTTTTCATGCACTACAGCTTGTCTAAAACAAGTCATGAAGTTTGAGACATGTTGCGAATTTTCATATGGTGTGAAACAAATGATGGCCAAATGTAATTGGATTAATTGGGATCCCATTATCAGTATTTAAAATGTTGTCCTAATATTGCAGCATTGGTGTATTATGAAACGAATGACATTGTATATAAAGCTATAACACATGCCACATAGTAACATTTGGAAGATAACAAAAAATGGATATAATCTGAGGTTCTCACATGCTTGAAATGTGCAACATGGTGAATAGCTATCACAATATCCGATTCGAGATGAATAAATGACCGGTGATTGGTGGACTGGCGAAGACAAAAAACTTTACACAAAAAAATCTCATCTGATTATAAAATTAAGGATAATTTTCTATGATACATAAATGTAAATACTGTCACAATATCCAATTCAAGAGTCAACATCAGATCTCGATTCATAATCTATGTCCAAAACGTATTTAGTCTATTTGTATTGGTTTCCAATGGCACGAGCCCATCATCATTACTTTAACTTTCATCATCATACTTTTTGAAGTATGTGACTGCGAATCATGTTTCAAGTTAACCAGGGACATGATTTGAAAGTTTCTATCCTGCATCAAAAGCCAGCAGCATGCGTTAACTTGCTTATTTACTTATGAATGAACTTTCTGCTCTAAGCTAATTTTAATATTAAAAATCGAAGATACAACAATAGAGAAGCAATAGTGAAGAATTAGAACAAGTGCTTACCAGTTTGGAGGTTTTTGAAGTAGACTAACTTGTTCATTATAGAGTACTTGCATTATGATGCACCCATTTTTCTACCAGACTCGACTGCCTCTTCTCGTCCACTTTTGTAAGCCACAACAAAGCTCCCAATGATTGAAACCAAAAGAATCACTCAAATTAACTTCAGGAATATAATGAACTTCAAAGAAAATAGCAATAGCCATGTAGACATCAAGCAAAAATCATTAAGAGAAATAAATTATGCAAGCTTTGATTAGATAATGCCATTTTAAATTTTTCAACACATTTGCCAGTGCATGCCTCTTCTAATCCACATGCTTTTCTGAAAATTGCTGGTGAATTCTGGCCTTTTACATCCATCACCTTTGCTTACAGATTATAAGTTTTAGCACAACCTTTAATTTGAAAAGAAAATAAGAGTCAGATAGAAATAGTAAGCATACCACAATAAGATTAGAGCCCTTGAGTCAACTTCCATTATGCTTTGGCCTTGTTGAAGAGTCGCCGTCTCTTCCTCAACTGCCCTCTTGAAATTCTTCCTCCCTCTTCTCATTTCTTTCTTACTTTCTTCTGCAGAATAGAACAGTTCAATACAGGAAAACTGTTGCGGAAAAACAAGTGATTTGTGTGTAGATTACTGATTGACATAAGTATGAATAATATAATTAAACAATAAACATATAACTCAATATAACATAAACATGAGAATAGATTTAGAAAGCAAGAGTTAGGGAGTCACGTCCAAGATGCTGTCCTAAAGTCGTATTGCTTTTTTTTCATGCGAGTACTTTCGGTAATACATGGCTTCAAGATAAAACTCATATACGTCACAGTTGATTCTCCTTCTATGCAAACGACCTTTATTGAATTGCCAAAATAATAATATATAAACATGTATAGAGAGTATTTTCTAATGTTTCTAAGTTGCATCATACAATGAAATTTTCACCACTTTTATAGTGAAAAATCAACCCCCACATTCATGTAAAAATTAATCGTTTTAACTTTTTATTGTTAGGTTTAAATTGTAAATGGCCATTCCCAAGTTTAAAATTATAGTTATTGAGTTGCAATTAAAGTCAAAAGAGTCGAAGATTGATAGTATATGCAATGAATAGTCAAAGAAGTCCAAGATGGACCAAAGACAAAAATTAGCTATAAAATTGCTTGCTGACCGCGCAGGAGGCGCTCAAGTGATTTTTTCAGCAAGGTCACCACTTGCTAGGCACGACCCTAGCGCTTAAGCGGCGAGCTTACTACTTGCTAAGCATGAAGGTAGCGATCAAGCGGTGTATTTATCTAGCCAAACCTAGTTCACGATTTTAATTAGATTTTGGAACTCTATTCAACATCAAACACTACCTTATATATATATATATATATAAGAGATATCTATCCCAAAGTATGTTGAATCATTACTTTATACTAGAGATCATACTATTAAAGATCAATTACACATCCAAAGATCTCTTGACTCAACCACAAGATCAAAGCTTCATATTTCAAATTCCCAAACATCTTGTATTATTGGTTAAGCCTTAATTGCAATCAAGAGAACATCATACTAAGATCAAACATTGATTCCATTATTCTCTTGCTTCAACCAAATATCAAAACACAAAAGATAAACAGATCAAGCACCAAAAACCCTTACCTTCTCCAGTAAGCCTTTAGAGTTTTGAAGCTGGAAGAGACAACTTGCAGTTTTAATTTTTCCGAAACAAGATTCATTCTTGGTGATCCACGTGGAAGGAAAAGAAGTATAAAGTTTTGGAAAGTGTATCTGCACAATCGAAGATGCTCTTCAATGATTTACAGGTTGGATGATTAGAGTCTACTAAGGTTTTATTGTATCTGTACCAATTGTAAGTTATTTTTTTCTAGCGGATCGTTTTGGCTAGGTTTGCCCTAAGGTTTTTTATCCATGTAAAGAGTTCTTCAAGCGGTTTTCCTTCGTTACAAAACTTGATGTTCTTTACTTTATTGCTTTTGATCTAAATTGCTTGACTGACACTTAGGGTTTAAATTGATTTTAAACTTAATCATCTAGAAGTAATAAATGAGTGATTTGTTGTTTTTTATTGGTTAATTGAATTCCACATTATACACATCTAATTGTAGTTGAGTTTAAACCTCGATTATTTTCAGTATTTAATCTATAAAATAAAAACAAAAATTGAAAGGTATTAATTTGAAAATTTTAAACTTTAAATATTTACATTACAACAATCCTCCGCAAGTTTTAAACTTTCAAAATTGATAAATATATATAATTTATATAATGACAACAATATACTTTGCAATAGTTGTGTAAATGCCTTTCAACTTGAACTTTATTTAGTGAAAACAATTTTCATTTGAGGGAGCCATAATGGATTAAGCCTAGAATTAAATTCCTTTAGCCAAATTTCAATTACTAGACACAGAGTGTTGATTTAGGCGCAGTTAATGGCCATGTGCTATTATCTTGATTATAGTAAGTCCTTAAGGAATAGCTCAATCTCATAGCCACGACCTTATGGAAACTGTTACATAGATAAATCCTTCAATGGTGCGTGTGACCAACACCTCGCAAGAATTCTTGCCTCAATACTCATTCAAGGTTAAACCCTTCCTGACATCACATCATTATTAGCACTATTACCATATGAGTGAGCATAAAAGTATAGTACTATTACAAGTCACGCGGTGCAGGTTATTTCTACCACATTCAACATTAATTTGGTACCACATATTTGCAAAGCTCTTATTCTCCACCTGCATATCTACAAATTTTCTAAACTTTCCAAAATATCAATATCATGTATTTAACTATAATAAGATAATCACGTGAAAGTTTTTAATACTGACTTTTAGTATCATGTTTGAGCATTTGCATCCATTCATCTCTTGTGTTTAAATGTAGGTCTATATTTTATTTTCAACACTTTTCAAGAGTCAGTTTTTCAACGAAAAATAATAAAAGATAAGGTATCTCTATATTGAACACCTCCACATTCCAAATGTATAATAATTCATTACCAAATAATTCTCAATCTTCATATACCACAATATAATATTAATCTTTGCAGTTGACTAAGAATAATCAACCATCAATGTATAGCCTAAATTATTAATTACCATCATCGTAGTCATCAAGTTGATGTCAATGGACATGGATGTTTAGCACACATATATCCAAAAAAAATTATATCGCTTAACTTTTGGAACTTCTTTTCCAAGAATGAAATTAAAATTAGGATGATAGCATGATTGTTTGGTAAAAAGTGAACTACATAGTTTCAGCAAACAAATTTGTTTGGAGAAAGAAAGCTTAGGAGTGAAAATAATCATCATTGTCCAAATATAAAACCAGAAAAAGAAAACAAATGTTTATTCAATCAGGCAGAGACGTACTTCATTGAGATAACCAATGGAAGTGGTTCTAACTAAAATATACAAAAATGACTTATGATGGTACAATGCCGCAGCATTCACTATTCATACAATTGAAAACCTTTCAATTTACTCAAAGGTTGATTAAGCTCATTTAGCATAGACGAAAAAGAGGAAGTTCAGATCATCTGTTTGATTGACTAGATAAAACTTAGTAAAATTTAGATGCCTTCTCAGAACCAATCCCCTCGGATGATTTTTCTGTGACCTCATGCAAATCAGGAAAGTATGGTTTATCCAAATTTTAGGGAATCAATTAGTATGAAATTTTAATTTTTCTTACTGTAAAGAAGTGAAATCTTTCCGCTCAACTAGTGAACGATTTAACAGCGGTTAGAAGTATTCATATAAAAAGCAGAATTTCTATTTTAACGCAATTGTTCGAAGCAAGTGAATGAATCTGCACTTTTATTTGCTGATTGCATTAATTGTGTACCAAACAATTCTTGGACTCACATTCTCGTTGATTAATTTGGCATGTGTTTTCTCGAGTAATTACAGTTATAGCAGCTACATGAAGGATTCAACTATAAAATATCCAATATTGTGTCACATCAATTGGCAAACATTCTCATGGAATAATAGTCGTTCCAAATGTTTTACACTATCAAGTATTACCATTCTATTAGAGAAAGTTCATCAAGCATAGATTTGAACCTGCATACATCCTATGAGAAAATTATTCAAATTGCTTAAATTTGAAGCAGTGCGTCATAGGATATCTCAAATCCTATTCCCTCAAATGAACTACAAATCTTTTCTGTTTTGTTCCAAGTCAGAGCCATGACATTTACTTATCATTGTAATGCCAAACCATCGTTTAAGCATAACCTTCAAAATCTCTACAAAACTTGTGTTACAAATAAGTGTGAGGGATCTAAATTAACGTATAAAAGCTAAGCTACTGCCCAAATATTCACACCTCATATCTAATATTTTATTTAACAGATATATTGATTTCATCAAAATTTAGATTAATACTAGAGCACAACAAAATTCAATTACAAAGAGTAAACTTGGATGAAGAACTAATTATTCCACTACATACAAATCACCATAACACGACTTTAAATTGTTGAGAAAAGCAAGTGAATTTTTTATAGATTATTTGATTATCATAACAAGTATAAATAATGTAATTAAACAATAAGCATATAACTCAATATAACATAAACATGAGACCAGATTTATAAAGCAAGCCTTAAAGAGTTACATCAACGACATTGTCCTAAAGTTGTGCTGCTTCACCTTCAAAGATAAAACCAATATAGCTCACAGCTTAATCTCCTTCTACGGTCACGATCACAGAGAGAAAAAGTACTGCTTATCGAGTTGCCAAAATTATAAAATATAAACATATACAGAGAGTATATTCAAGCATTTCTATGTTGCATCAAACAATCAGATTTTCATCACTTTTAGTGAAAAATCAACCCCACGTTAATGGTTTTAATTTTGTATTTATTCTAAAACTGAAAATTAAAAAGGTATTAATTTGAAGTTTTAAAACTTTCAATATTTATGTTACAACAAAAACATGCCAAAGAAAAGGAATATACTGCAATCATGTAATGACCTGCTTGGGTATTCTCATAGTTCAAGGTGGCATTGGGTACGATGAAATGAATCCAAACTCCGAAGTCCTTTCCCCATTCCACATTTTGCGTGTTTCAGACTTGAATAGTTATCCCGTAGGCAATCCTCGTCCAACAATTGGTACTTCAATCTTTCCACCCCAACCCGAAAAGGAAACTATATTAGCCATCCAACCATCAAACCCACCCGCCCACGCAAAAAATCATCGCCCGTTGTCTTCTGTCCACTATTCTACCACCATCCTCGAAACACCAAATCCTTTACCCAGTCACCTCACAGCCACCCAAAATGTTGTGTTTTGGGATAGATATGTATGATGATGAAGATATAATTGGGTAACTTAGAGAATCTAGGGTTTCAACAAAGAATATTTTGAAGAGAGAGATTGTGCCTTGGATGGGGTGATCGTGTGCTTGAATGATGGGGTTAGACTAATCCGAGTGAGAGGAATGTGATTGTTTACTTCGTTGTGTAAAAGAGAGGTGAATTATAAAATATCATTTTTACTTATAGATATGTCAGCAATTATGCAATAAGAATAACATATGGTAGAAATATTTCGCCTAATCAGCACAATCTCCCATATCTATTAACTACGCTATCAAAAACCCTCCATACCTTTCGTAAATAGCACAAAACGTACTTTGAAACATTTTGTGCGGAACACCCCCCACCGTTAGCTTCCGACATTCTGTCCTTCAATTCCAATAAAAAGGAGAAAAATAGGAAAAAATTAAAAAGGCAAAACTGATATTTTCTCTTCCAAAGGAGGTGTGGTGCCGCGGGTTAGCCGGAAATGGAGATGACAGGCGTAGTCGCAACTAGAGGTTTAGCTGGAACCAATGAAGATGGTGTGGTCGCAACAGGGCCGGTCCTGTGATAATGGAGGCCCGAGGCGAAGTCCGTAAATTGGGCCCCGGACGAAATCAATGTAAAAATTTACGTAAAAATCTAATAACATTTTCAATTATGTACACAAAAATTTGAGCATTACAAGTTTACGAAAACAATGCAAAATTAAAATAACATTCAAAATCCAAAACTATACCCAAAAAAAAAAAAAAAAAAAAAAAAAAAAAAAAATTGAAGCAAAATTGGGCCCCCTAAAGGTTTTGGGCCTGAGGCTGAGGCCTCAAATGCCTCAGCCCAGGACCGGCCCTGGGTCGCAATTGGAAGGTTTCAATCTCGAGGTTGCGGGAAAATGGGTAGTGTAATGTACATCACATGAAAGGAATTACCTGTTTTTTATTTCATTTTATTTTTGAAGTCAAACTAAATCCACGTTAGCAACACATATTTCTTCTATAATCCTTTCTGTCAATCGAGCTGTACAAATAACAAAGTCCTCACCTGATTGTCTCCTATCGGATTTTGTACAGGAGGAGGAATTAATTCATTTGGCAGTTGGCAGCATCATTTTCAATATTATTCGGACTAACTGATTTTCTCCCACCACTTTTAACCTAATTAAGCTTCCAAAGGAAGAACCCTAAAACCAGTACACAAACACAAATGAACTGAAAGAACCAATTTTTTGCCCAAATTATATTTTGCTATTGCAATTAAAATCTGAAACTTCGACATATATTAACATGAATTTAGTACAAATACTCACTGCAACTGATTTATTCATCATATGCCATTCAAATCTCTAAAAATAAATAAATAATTATTTCAACATATTTACTGGAAATGATCATCTGAAATCTGAATTTATTTTGAACTTGATAAATTATGACTGTCAATGGCTATTGTGGATTGAAGGGTAGACCAATAAACAGATCAGTCGCCACATCTAAGCTCACTGTACTTTGGCTGCAACTAGCATTTTCTTTTTGTTTTTCTTGTGTCTGATTCGGCTTTATTCCACACTGCAGGCATCATATGAGAATAAATTCTATTAAAAGTAAACAAAACACATACAAAATTTAATGTAAAAGAAAGTTGATGCCTTCTGCAAGAAGTTTTAAATTGGATACTCAACTTTGGATTAACTGTAAATGAACACAAGATTGATCAAGCAATCGCAAAGTTATAACATATAAGGACTTTCTAGTTTGAAAAAAATTGCATAAAATATATGGACTTTTTAGTTTGAAAAAAAATTGCATGCACATTGGGTGCTTAGCATGAAACTCTACCAGTCTATTAAAATAGAAAGTAAAGAGATTTCAGATGGGGAGGTAAGGCGCCAAACCTATGAAAGTCAGAAAATACAAATCTATCATTCTCAGATGAAAGAACTTATAGCTACTAGATAATAGATATCTTGAGAAATTATAATAGCAAGAAATACAAGGTAGTACTAGACATGTAATTAACAAACATCTAACTTTGCTTTCTTCCTTAATGTTCTCTACTACTGCACAAGAGACCTTCACAAACAGGCCAACAATGTTTCCATAGGCAGGAAATGCATACCATAAACTTTAATAAACAGTTTTTGCACCAACCAAAATCTTGTAATCAATGTAAAAAACAATGCTTTTAAATCAAAATCCAAGTATAGAAAAATTTGGAGCTGCCAAAAGTCCAACTATATAATTTTCCTAGTATTTGCATGAACTGAAAGAAACTTGGGAATTGAAAGACTTACCTTTTCACGCAATCTTGTATTTTCTTCAAAAAGACTCTTCTCCTATACGTTTTCAAAAAAATTGTTACAAAATACATGCTGGTACACACATTAGACCATCTCCAAGACTCTATTTAAAAAAAAAAAAAACCATTATTTGGTAATAGAGAGCATCTATAAATTTGGAGATTATATTTTTTGTGCAACTCAATAATGCTCTCTATTTTGGCTCTTCATTTTTCTTTTTTCAAGAAACATTTGTTGTTCTCCTCATCTTTTTATTTACATTGTTTTTATATATGTCAATGATTGTTGAGATTCGAACTGCTGAACTGTGACTTGAAGAAGTGTGCTTCCAAAATAGAGAAAAATGGGTTTTTCCAATTGAGTTCTAGATCCTTCCATCGATAAAGTCTTGTGACTCCACTTTTCGACAGAAGACGTTTGAGAGACTCCTCGGTTTTCGGCCGACTCTCTGGTTTTCTCTCTCAAAGAAGAACCTTTCTTCTTCATGGTTTAGGGTTTGTTTTTGAGTGGGTTTCTGAAAATAAAACCTACAAACACCAAGAAATACTCTAGATACAAATGTTTGTTGTGCTTTTCTAGCTTCAGTTAGGTTGAATCTGTGTGATTCAAGCGATCTGCCTGATTTCTTGCAAGATCTTAGTGATCTAGTTTTTTGGTTCCTTGGTGGAGCGTGACTTGCTGTGTAATATGCACTTGATTCTTAATGATTCGAGAGAGAGCAATTAGGGTTTTAGGGAGATCTTTGTGACCCAATTTGATTCCTTTGTGGAATAGTGGTTGGCTATTGTTGTTCTTCATAAGATAAGTCTCTGTGACCTTTTTTTTTTTTTGTAATTTCTGGAACAATTCTTGTAAACTTGATGCCTATTTTTGAGGCTTTATAGTGCAATCGAGCTCTATCCATTTTAATTAATGCTCAACAGGGGATTAGGCTTAGAAGTGGTTGTCGAACCTCTGAGGCTTCGGTCGAAAAATCTCTGCATTGATTTTCTTATTTTCTACACTTTTACTGTTTTTATTGTGGTTTTACGAGTCTTTGTTAATTCTTAGATGCTCCTCGAACTTTTTAGTGGTATCAGAGCAATCTTGGACTATTGGAGCGTCTTTGATTCTTGTGAGTTGATTGGATTCTAAAACCCGCTTCAAGTGGAAATTGAGTTTTATCAAACTCATTGGTGAGATCTTTCTTGCATTCTATAATTAATTTTTACAGTAAGGTCTCCTAATTTTTCCCTTGATTTACCTTGTACTAATAAACCCTACTGTGGCTGGTCTTTGTCCAAAGACTCGAGAAGTTTTGGGAATCTAAGATAACAACACTAGTAGGAGTGCAATTGGAAGGTCTTGCTGAAGAAGTTAGTTGAGGCTTAGGAATTGATGTCTCTATTCTTTGTGATTCTACATTTTATACTTAGTGTCAAGTGTTTACTGTTTTGAGAAAATAGTACAAGTGCATAGGTCATTGACCCTTGATTCCCTAGACTGCCTGCAATACTCTTATTGTGACCCAATTTGGTCCCCATTCTCATTTTTATTCTTTTTCTCTTTCTTATTTTCAACCACAAAATCTTCCATAAAATAATATTATACGAAAAAAAATTTCATTCTTTTTTAACCACACATTTAAAAAAAACACTATTCCAACCATTAAAACTTGGAAATAATGGGGGACCAAACGGGGGCTGTATGTCCCTGTGTGTTCTTGAAATCAAACTTGTGTGCTGTGAACTATCTTGGTGAATCTTGTCATGATACCACTAAGTTTGAAATGAACATGTATGATGGGAGGGGGGACTTTAATATATGGAGCTAGAAAATGAGGGCTATCTTGATGCAAATAAAATGTGCCAAAGCCTTAGATAACTCTTAGCCAGCTGAAATATTTGTTGCTAAAAGAACTGAGTTAGAAGAAATAACATGGGGTACTAATTTTTGGTACCTTTCAGACAATGCGATCAGGTCTATAGGTGAAACAAAAACTGTTGAAGAGTTGTGGACCAAATTGAAAGCCTAATATGAGCCAAAAACTGTTCCAAAAAAATGTTTTTTGCTAAAATAATTCTTTTCTTTCAAAATGGACCCTTCTGTTGACTTAGATGAGAATTTGGACAGATTTACCAAATTGACCCAGACCTTACCAACTGTGATGAGAAATTATCGAAAGTTCAGTTGGCAGTGGTCTTGTTAAACTCCATTAGTGATAGGCATATAGACCTCAAGAATGCCTTAAAATATGGAAGAGATAAGCTTACCATAGAAATCATTATAAATGCCTTAAGAAATAGGGTTCTTGGATTAAAATCAGATTCTATCAACCATCAAAATGGAGAAATTTTTTTCATAAAAGGCAAAATGTTGGTAAATCTAATTTTCATTGAAAATTTCAAAATGACCATAAGAAAAAGAATAATGACAAAATGAAATCCAAATCTAAGGCAAAGGGAAAGAAATGTTATTATTGTGGTAAGTTGGGTCACTTTGCAAAAAATTGTTACAAAAAGCAAAATGATTTGAAAGGAAAGAAGTTAAATGCGGTAATGCTGTTTTATCCTATGATAAGCAAAAATTTGATAATGGCCTGGTTCTTGTAAATGTTGAAAGGAACCTAAATCAAGAATGGATTCTTGATTCAGGTTGCTCTTTTCACATGTACCATAATAAAAAACTATTTTTTGGATTTTGAACAAACTAAAGGAGGCCAAGTTATCATGGGAAACAACATGACCTGCAAAGTAAAAGGTATTGGAATCATAAGATTGCTTTTGGAAAATGGCTACAGGGGCCAGATTTGTTCCTGAATTAGAAAGAAACCTTGTGTCTTTAGGAATGTTGAATGACATAGAGTTTAACAAAAAATTGGGTCAATGACACATAAAAATATTTAGGAATAGTGATTTGATCACTTCTATCCCAAAGAGATATGGTTTATACTTTCGAAATGCAAAACCTTTTATGAGTCTTTCAGTAGTAGTTTTAGATGATGAAATTAATCTTGCAAAATTGTGGCATTGTAAGCTTCGTCACATTGGGGTGAAAGGTTTAAAGACTTTACAAAATAAAGGTGTATTTGGAAAATCAAATATTGGTGAATTATCTAAATGTGAACAATACTTGATTGGAAAACAAGTTAAATTACATTTTTCCACTAATACTCATAAATCAAAGCAAATTTTAGAATACTTACATGCTGATTTGTGGAGCCCTACATCCACCCTTACATTGTCTGGTTACAAGTATTACTTATTAATAATTAATGATTTCTCAAGAAAAAATTGGGTATTTCTTTTGAAAACCAAAGATGAAAAACATTTGCCACATTTAAAGAATGGAAAACCCAAATTGAAAATCAAAACTTTGAGAATAGACAATGGATTAGAATTTTGCAATTATGAGTTAATGATTTTTGCAAGTTGCATGGTATTCTAAGACATAGAACTGTGACCTACACACCCTAGCAAAATGGCATTACAGAAAGAATGAATAGGACTTTGTTGAATAAAGTTATAAACATGCTTTTGAGTTCTGGATTACCCAAATTATTTTGGGGTGAAACTATTAAAATTGTTGCATATTTGATTAATAAAGTCCTACAAGTGCTTTGAATTTTGATGTGCCTGAAAGTGTGTGGACACAAAAGCCTGTAATTTATTCTTACTTGAAAATATTTGGTTGTGCTGCATATGCTCATCAAAATATAGGAAAACATGAACCTAGATTCTTTAAATATGTGTTTTAGGGATATGTTGAAAATATTAAAGGATATAGATTGTGGATTTATGAAAAAAAAGGTTACAGGTTTATTATAAGGAGGGAAATGGTCTTTAATGAGTCATATATGTCATATTTGGAAGGAAAACAGGGAAATTTGACTAATAATAATGTCCAAATTGAGGTGGAGCCTATTAAAATTGATAATACCAGATCTGTCCCCCCCCACCCATCCACCCACCCAAAACAACAACTAATGAGGCTAACCAGAATGAAAACGAACATGATTTGGCTGAACCTAAGCAATATGATGACAATAATACACCTCTAGATGAATACCAGCTTACTAGATATAAGGATAGGAGGCAAATTAGACAACCTGTTAAGTTTAATTGTGATGACTTTGTGTCTTTGTTCACTTACCAAGAAGAAACTGAATTTGAACCTAGTTCCTATTATGAAGCCTTGAAATCTAAAGATTCTAAGAGGTGGTTGAGTGCTATGGAAGAAGGGATGTCTTACCTATACAAAAATAAAACTTGGAAATTGGTTGATAGACCTATGGACAATAAGCTAGTTGATTGCAAGTGGATTTATAAGATCAAGGAAGGGGTGGCACTAATAATGTTAGATACAAAGTTAGGCTTGTTGCGAAGGGTTTTACACAAAAGGAAGGTGTGGACTATAATGAGATTTTTTCCGTCGTGGTTAAATATACAACTATAAGATGCATTATTTCTTTAGTTGTGCAAGTTAGATAGAAACTTGATCAACTAGATGTAAAAACTGCTTTTCTTTATAGTGAATTAAATAAAGTGATCTACATGAAACAACCTTGAAGATTTATTATAGGAAATCCTAAAAAAACTGTATGTTTGTTGAAAAAATCTTTGTATGGCCTACAACAAACTCCAAGACAATGGTATAAAAGATTCAATTCATTTGTCTTGAAGCTTGGGTTTAGTAGAAGCAATTATGATACATATCTTTATTGTAAAGGATGTGGAGGTAAATATTCTTTGTATCTTGTGCTTTATGTTGATGATATGCTTCTTGCTAGTGCCAATAAATCTGAAACTGATGATATCAAACACAAATTAAAATTAGAATTTGATATGAAGGATCTTGGTTCTGCTAAGAAAATACTTGGCATACAAATTATAGGAGATGAGAAATCTGGTTGTTTGTTCTTAAGTCAACAAGAGTGTGAATAGGATCCTTAAGAAGTTTAATATGTTTGATTGTAAACATGTGACTTTACCCCTTGCTAATCATTTTATATCAACATCTTATTTGTGTCCAAAAACTGAAGATGAACTTGAAAGGATGCCTAAAATACCTTATACTAATGCTATTGGTTCAATCATGTACATAATGATTTGCACCATACTTGATTTGGCTTTTAGTATTAATGTTTTGAGTAGATTTATGAGAAATCGTGGTGAATTTCATTGGGAAGCATTGAAGTGGTTATTGAGATACTTAAAAAGTTCGTCTAACTTAGGATTGATGTTTAAAATGGACAAAAAGGGGATAATTTTAAAGGGTCATATAGATTCTGATTTTGCTGAAAATAGAGACAATAGAAAATCAACTTCCTCGTATTTTTACACTTTATGTGGTACTGTGATAAGTTGGAAATCTCAGTTACAAAAAATTGTTGCTTTATCTTCCACGGAGGCTTAATGTATTGCAGCCACTGATGCCATTAAAGAAGGCATATGGTTGCATAGTTTGTTGAATGAACTTGGTTTTGTAAATACTATACAATATTGTATTCTAACAATCAAAGTGCAATCCATTTGAGTAAACATCCCATGTTCCATGATAGAACAAAAGATGTTGATGTAAAATATCATTTTACAAAGGATGTTAGTTTTAAAGGGTTGTTGAAAATTAATAAAATACTTACTTTGTATGATCCATCAAATATGGGAACTAAGGTGATACCTTTAAATAAGTTTCAAAACTGTTTAAAGATGTTATCTATTGATTCTTTTCATTGATTGTACAAGTACAATAGAGCAAATGACATTAGAAATGTCGGTGAAGCTCCTGGCTACACTATAGCCTTAAAAATTTTGGAAGCAAAGTGGAGATTGTTGAGATTCGAACTGCTAAACTATGACTTGAAGAAGTGTGCTTCCAAAATAGAGAAAAATGTGTTTTTACAATGATAACTTAATTAGTGGAAGCTCTTAACAAGATCTTGACACGTGGTGACTTGGAGGCCGTCCAATTGAATTCTAGATCCTTCCATCCATAAAGTCTCGTGACTCCTCTTTTGGACACAAGACGTTTGAGAGACTTCTTCTTAGTTTTCAGCCGACTCTCTGGTTTTCTCTCTTAGAAGAAGAAAAGAACCTTTCTTCTTCATGGTTTAGGGTTTGTTTTTGAGTGGTTTTTTTGAAAATGAAACCTGCAAACACCAAGAAATACTCTAGATACAAATAGTTGTTGTGCTACTCTAGCTTCGGTTAGGTTGAATCTGTATGATTCAAGTGATCTGCCCGATTTCTTGTAAGATCTTAGTGATCTAGTTTTTGTGGGTTCCGTGGTGGAACGTGACTTGCTGTGTGATATGCACCTGATTCTTAGTGATTCGAGAGAGGGCAGTTAGGTTTTTAGTGAGATCTTTGTGATCCAATTTAATTCCTTGTGGAATAGTGGTTGGCTATTGTTGTTCTTCGTGAGATAAGTATCTCTGACTTATTTCTTTGTAATTTATGGAACAATTCTTGTAAACTTGCTACCTGTTTTGGGGGCTTTATAGTGCAACCGAGTTTTATCCATTTTAATGGATGTTCAACAGGGGATTAGGCATTAGAAGTGGTCGCCAAATCTCTGGGGCTTCGGCTGAAAAATCTCTATGTTGATTTTCTTATTTTCTGCACTTTACTTACTGTTGTTATTGTGGTTTTATGAGTTTTTGTTAATTCTTGGATGCTCCTCGAACTTTTCAATGATCAATCAATTAAATACAATTTGAATAATTTAAGAAGTAGATTATTAAAAGCTGTAACTCATTAAATACAATTATCATAAAATAAGAAGAGAGAGTGAGTTTGGCTCTTCAACTATTCCATTTTAAAAAGGTAAAATAAAATCTTTTGAAGTTTTTTTTTTTAAATATTAACTCTTTAAAATAGAGAGAATCTCGTATTTAATAGTGTCTTGGAGATGTTCTTACAAAAAATAAGGAATGCCATTTCTTAGAGATCATGCACGATGATACCTTTGCTTTTAATTTTTCTATATCCTCCTTGTATAATTCAGCCTGGATTTGAAAGAACGATGATGTTATTATTATTAACAATTCGAGTAAAATCTCAGTTCTAACAGCGAGTTCAACCATAATACCTTTCTTGCTCGTATGTTTTTTAGGCTTTTTTCTAGCTGGCTGTCAATATCTTGCAGTTCTTCAACTGAACATGTACCCAAGCCCTGCCCTAAAAGCTTCCTGAAATTCAGATACATTTATCCACAAAAACTCAAGCATTCGAGGAGATTTTTCAAAAAATTAAAATGAGAATAAATATAACAAGACAAGAACCTTTTGGAGCTTTCAAGGAGCTCTATCTTCTTTGTCATGAATGCTTCTTCATTCTTCAAATGCTGCAATGGAATCAGAGGAAGCAACATATGAAATTTTGGTCAAAACAACAGGGTGAAAATCAAAAGAAAATGAAGAAGAGAAAATAGAAATTTGTGTATTTTTAGAAAAATCACTTGTATCTACAAGAGAGACAGAAAACTGATTATCTAATCAAAATTTCAAATACTTGCTCTCGTCATTTTGTCCACATCTCTCAATCCAAAACCCAAAAAATTCTTTCATAATTTACTTTTCATAACGCTCACAAAGTCCTCGAAATCTATCTTATCAAATTTATAGAATTTCAAATTAAGAATCCTATTTGATAAGATAAAACCCCTTCATCAAGTCAAATTGTGATTTACCAGAAATCATAATTTAACAGTTTGTTTCAGTCTTGACTCTTGAGTAATGATAGTGTTTATCAGAGCTGTCGTGGTTTTGGTTTTTGTAATAGAACAATGCTGCACTTCAATGTATGAGAGGTGGATTAAATGGCAGCTAAATGGAAAGGATTCTAAATATACATTCCATGCCGAACTTGGAAGTGGAAATCACTCAAAAGAATTTATAGAAAGTTCAAAGCGCCAAATCGCAATCAAAAGAATCAATAGAAGTACGAACCATCTCTTATCTAGAGTATGTAACCTTCTCGTTAAAAGTTCAATTAGTATCGATTGATGTTGATGAACAAACATGTGGGCATGCATACTATTTAGGGTTCCTTACAAAGTCAATCTTGTTAAGGAAAGTATTTAAAACCTTAAGATACGCTCATACAATGATGAATGATTTGAGAACGTCAATCTAGATATTTGATTACTTGTTTGATATTTAAAAATATAAAATTGCTCGTTTCAGCTTGTTAGGCTCTAATACCAAATTAATTTTATATTTTCATCTTAAAACATCAACCTTGTTAACAATAAAATAATTATTTCTATGCTGAGTATCATTTTCATCTTCCTTGAACACATATATTATTTATACTCCATTTATTAGGCAATCTCATTAACACTTTAGTGATAAACCTTCCCTATTATATTTATAGTGTTATTGAACCCTAAATAATCTTTCCCTCTTCTCTCGGCACAATTTAGGCAAGAAATTTCTATAATCAACCATGTTAATAGTAGCACAATTCGTTCTATGCTGATTATCATTTAACATATACATTATTTTTACTCTATTTATTAGCCAATCTCATTAACACTATAGTGATAGACCTTCCCCATTACATTCTATAGTATTATTGAACCCTAAACAACCTTTCCTACGTCTCTCGACACTATTCAGACAAGAAATTCCTATAATCAACTTTTTCCTCAAAAAAAGCTAAATTTATGCTTCGTTACAAAAATTTCCTATTATCAATTTTAACCTTCATTACAAAGAAAATACCCTATAAATAGGATTACATTTAACTAGAAACGGAAGATCATAGCTAATTATACAAATAAACTACCAAGCAACAATATTATGGCAAACTTTCGATATATCATGAACAATATCATGGCGATCTTTGATATATTTAATACCCCTCAGATCCAATATGGTGTTGGTAAAATTCAAATTGAGTTTGAAAACTATAATGATCCAAGCATATTGTCTCTAACATGGCCAAAAGGATGCTCTATACTTGTGGACATTGCTTACTGACGATGATAACCAAATAATCAGAGGTTGGTGCAGAAGAAAATAATCATCCACGAGTATGACATGACCAATCACCGCGACTTGAGGGAAATATCCAACAAGTAGAGAAAGCAAGGCCAAAATCAAATCCTCGAGAAAAATTTTATAACTAGATCTAGCAAGTATAAATTGTCCCATGATAGACTATGTTAATTGTAGAGTATAAAGATCCATGGGTTATACCAATACTTCACTCAAAGTTGATAAAAAGACTGGCCTAACAGAAATCAGCCACACGAAGTGGCTAAAGACAAAGATTTAATGGAAATCAACTTGGTGGAAAATGCAACTCGGATTTTCTTCCATGTAATTCGGCCAGTATAAAACAACCTAAACAAAAATATATCAAGACCCAATGAGAATTTAGCGATCCACAAGGCTTAAAAGACTAACAAGCCCCAATCAACTTCAAAATCACCAATCCTCAAACAGGTATACATAAAGAAAACCCAAAATTGCACGTAGAGGATGCCAAAGCAATAATGGAAGGGCATGCATCAAGATATCAAATAAGTACAAGAATAAAATGACTAATGATTATCGGGAATGGCAAGCATTACACCATTATGACAATTGAAAACAACATAGATACATATGAAGAGGTGCTTAGATATGCATGTTGGCTCTCTCCTACTTCGTGTTGTTTATGTTGAAAAAATGATGCATAATTATAAATTTTTTACCAAAAGCACATGCATGAAAATATGATAAAATTGAGATTTAATGGTACAAAATATCAGATATAGTTTCGAATTATCAAAACCAAGATACGTGTATAAAATTACATTCAAATCGTGACTTATTGAAATGTAGAAAATAGGAGGAGATGGAATGAAAAACGATGTATGCTATTGCAAATATCTTAAGACAGATTTCATCCCCTGCAATCAGGATCAAGTGGACGTTTGTCCCTCCAAGCTACAACACTTCTTCCAGAACTAATATAGCATAATATTAATTTTGTCGACGAACTAATGCATGACTATACTATTCTAGAATGGAAGATATCAAATACTACATATCCAATACAAAACTTGAAAATAATTTGGAATTATATTGATATAATTTGGAGAATGAAATAATTAGAAATCAATTATAAGAAATTAATTTCGAGTAGAAAATACAGATTTAGGGATCCCTGTTTATAGATTTTCAAGTATCTTTTTGAAATGACTACATCTTTTGACATAAATTAATGTGGACAATCAGATCACACATTTTCATATTTAATGGTCAACATGGCACCCTATTAAAAGATCATGACTTTCCATAATGTCCCTTGTTTGCATAGTCACATATAATTCGAAACAACATGACTTTGAGATAAGCTAGAGATTCTCTCTATCTCATCAATCATATTTCACGACCTACCTTAACACCTTCAATAGAGAAGAAAACTCTGTGTAATGAACAACTCCTATCCTGACATATCCATAATATCTATAAATGGATAACGAATAGAGTTGATCAACTTCTGTTGAACCACTTTATATTATAATTTAAGCTGTTACTTAGATTGTCTTCAATAACCTCTCCTCACTCGCAAGGTTTGATTTGTGTACAGTTTTTATAAGGTGCAGTGATAAGAGTTGATCTTGGACCTACTGTAATATGTTGAACAGTTCATGTCAAGTCTCTTAAAGAAGAGAGATATTTTATATATTTAAACTTACTGTTGAGCCCACTCTCTCACGTATAAATCAAGTTCAGTTATCAATTATGTGATACGTGCAAGATTTTCATTATTCATCTCATGACTTCTACCTACTCTAATACTATGTTGATATTTTTCGTCTCAAAAACTAAAACCATTAGAAAATAATATATTTTATTTAAATTTTTTCTTCATTGTTACCAGTACTTCCAATAAAAGGCAACATATTGTTAATGTTGTAATTTGTATAATGTAAAACTAATTAGTACAAGTAATAGCTAATAAACCATGGAGATATTTCAACAAAATTAAATATTTCTGACCTGCACATGTCGAACTTCAGTGTTGTTAGTCGTGGTCTCCTTTTCTTTTGCATGCTCAAGGTATTTCTCTATTGTATTTTCCATGCTGAACATTGACCATAAAAAAAAGGGTTTCTCAGCTAGAAAAACATAAAAGGAGAAAAAAGGGGGAGAGAGAGAGAAAGAGAGAGCTCATAATTCCAACTTGGGATGCAAAGAGAGTGATAAACCATACTAATCAGACTTCAATTTTCTCATCAACTAATGTAAACATATATCGAGGTTTCAAAAGTTTATTACAGTCTTTAGGTAGATTCTATATGAATTATGAATCCCAAAGATATTTGTTTCAAAATATAGAAACTAGCAATAGTCAAAAAATTTCTCGTTTCTACGTTGTTTATTTACCAAGGCGGTTGTAGAGTACTAGAATATAATAAGAAATAGAAGATACTAAAACATTGTAAAGTTCACAATTAAATTGTGTCCAATATTATACATGATAAGTAAAGATATTACTTTGCAACTAGAAAAGGATACAATATAAGAGATACTTGCATGGATCAAGACATTATTGAATCAAATTCAACAAAACTTGGTAATCTAGGCCTATTCCCAACTTAACCATCAGGTTCTCCTTTGCAAAATCTCAAGAAAAAAATAATAAATAGAAATTAACAATAATAAAGAACATGAAACAAACTCTAATACCTAAGAAAAATCACTTGTCATAAAAGTTAAAAATTATCTTCCATGTGAAAATTTGCATCAATATACATCATATCCGAATAGACTCAGGGACATAGAATCAAGGCTCATAGTAATGAATAATTTGAGAAATATGGAAAAACAATCCTGTCTTCTCTTGTCTCCCATTTTCTAGGAAACTATTATTCTTGGCACTTATTTTATCCAGGCATTCCATTGTCTAGTACTTCACTTACTTTCACATATAGTATTCTATGTTGGACTAAGCTACGTAGGGACTAGGACACAAAATGCAAACAATTTTCCCTCGTTAGTAGGGAATTCCAACAGAAATAAATAAAAGAAAAAGAGGAAACAAACATTGCTGTTATGTAAGTTTTAAATATTATGGCCCCATCTGGGAGCAATTTTGAGAATTGATTTTTTGACCGTTAGGAGAAAAGTAGAGGCCACCTGTGAAAAAAGAAGTCAACCTTTACGACTGTAATAGTGAAATAACGATAAAAAAATCAATTTTTTTTGGGTGAAAATCAATCCCAAACGCCCTCTACATGAGTATTTTTTATAGCTAGCAGCTCATCATAGGTTTTTGAACATATTGGAAATTTTTGAAAAGAATATTTATCTCAAACAAAGTGAAATTAAGAAGAAAAATGAAAATAAAGTGAACGTCAAGATTTTACGCGTAAACTCTTAATTTAACTAGGGGAAAAAACCACACGCACAAAAGTTAGTTTAGCTTTCAAAGTTACCACTATTTATTCCTTCGCTCCCGGTTTCACTGTAGGAGAAAGGGAAGTTAGCAAAACATGAATTCTCCATGTCAGGGATTAGTTTAGTAGCACAAAAAGATGAAAATATACCCATTTTTTGAGTTCCTTTTGGAAAGGAAAGATTTTTGGTTTAAAAGGGGTAAGAAATGCCAAGATGACAGGCTACTAGAAGCAAAGAACATTCCTTATTCTTGCTATGCTTTTTTTGGTTCATCTAGTTTCGAGTAATCACATGGGACATACAATATTTATTAATTTTTTAACCAACTTTTGTTTCCAAAAAATGATTTATGATTGTACTGATATGCATTGTTAATGTTGCTGGTTTCAGGCGCATATGCATGCATGTAGACTTAATATAGAAATTAAACTCTTTTTTGCTAGTAAAATAGACCTATTCCACGAAAATTTATATATGTCTTTAAATGATTTAAGGTTATTCACTAGCAACTTTTTTGCATCTATTGCTGAGAGTGAAAAGAACACGAGCGGAGGAAGTCAAATTTTTATGGTAAAATTTGGCTATTGACTTCAAAGAGATAATAAGAGAGTACACTTATTTTATTTAAATTTAATCTTCAAAATAAAATTTTACTTCCAATAAGCACTTTCCCTCTACAAAATGAAATTTAGAGGTTAGCATATTCTGCTGGAACTAAGACCTAAAATAGATACATGGCTCGCCCGTTTTTATCATATTGTAGTCTTAAAGTAGCAATTCTTCACAAAAGCAAGAGGGAGGAGGGATTTCTGGAGTTCATATCCCCTATATCTTCATTACAGACAAATTAATTTACAATTTGTTAATACAATGTTTCTTATTTCAAAATTCGTCCCAATTGTTGTTTTGATTACTCAAAGATTCAACACTTAAGTTCACCAACAGTATGTTTCCTTCAATTAGTACCTTAGATAGCTTCTTAAAGTTACATGTGCAAGAAATAAAACTAAATTCCACTCATGAATTTAACTAAAGTTACATATTAAGCAATTGGACTAATGGATTCTAAGCTTATATATGGAGGGTTTCAGATCCCAAGTCGGAGAATCAATGGCGCATTTGATTTAGTATGCTACTAATAATATGCACCTCTAGTTAGAGTGTTGAATAATGCGATGATCATGCAAGGAAGTTAGCGTTTGAGGGAATCTAATTATTTTGGTGTTGTGATTGATGGTTGTCTTTTAATTTCATCCAGCTTCTCGCAAGCCAAGGAAGAAAGACATAGTACCTTTAAGTGGACTTCTAAATCCAATAATCAAAGTAGCTAATATTTAACGAGAAAAATAGCCTCAGGGAGAACAAAATCCAAATCAAGATTAGAGAAGTTTATACAATATACACAAGTTTTCTTCTAGTCGAAAACAATTATTGTTCATTAAAGGAACAACAAGCATACATGGGTCAAAATATTTTAAATTTGACAGATTTTTTTCCTTTCTTTCAACAATCAGACGTGATGAAAGTAGAAACGAACAAATAAGTACACTAAAAGACTACACAAATGGAGATTCCTAAGGTTTTTGAAAACTTGGCAATTTTACGACCACAAACTAAGTCGGTTTCCAAATAAAATTTTAGTTCGACCAAATCAAGCAACCTTCATATATTAAATCATTAAAAAGTCAGATTGATGCAGGCAAGTTTGAGGAGGAGTACTTTGAGATGCTGTTAACATGGTACTGGAAATCTCTCAAAGTACACCAATCCCATACCTTATAAATAGGCAAATATAATAATAACAAAGCAGATAGAACAAACATACACATTGGACCAAGTATAATTTTATGTAATGAAATGTGAACTTGAAATTAACGGGATGTGTGCAGTAAAAATGAGAAAACTGCATTGAGAAGAGATAAAAACGTACTTGGAGCTTGAGAACTGAAAAAGTCTTCCTTTCTGTGAGAAAATAATCAGAGCTACTTCAGCATCACAAAGTACTGATAACTCATAAGCTTTCTTTAACAGCCCATTTCTGCGTTTTGAGAAGGTAACCTGCCTGCTCGATTCGTTTTCAATTCGCTTCATTTGAATCTTTCCTCTCACCATTTTCTGCAAAACAACGAAAAAATTTTGTAGAATAAGTGAAACCCTGATTAGAAATAATCACCATGAAATGACATCAAAAATTACCAGGAAGTAGCTCTTGTGCTCAGCGGCTTAGGAGAAAATTTTATGATCTGTCAAAAAAACTTCAAACAAGAAATGAGAAATTAAGGGGGCTTCTTAAATATAATTACATCAACAACAAACTAATGCTAATTTCTAATAAATTTTGTGTTCACTATCTGAAACCTTTTGCACCATTTTGTTTCCAGGAGAATTTCACATACGGGAAGGGAATTTTGGATTCAAATTTGTGTAAGAAAAATCAGAAGCCCCCCAAAACTCTAACAAATTTCCATGCCAAAAATTCAGCTGCTAGTCAAATCCAACAAGAAAAGTGAACTAATCCAGAAACCCTAGCCAGTACGGAAAATTTTGCAGATAAAAAAGGCAAGATTCCTGCAAAATAAAATAAAAAACAATAAATACCAAGAATATAAAAGAAGAAAATGACTGCAATGTACCTATATTCTGAAGAACATCAACCCTGGGGCTGGAAAAACAGATTTAGAAAGGATAAAAGGAGTAAGGAGTTTACAATATGTTACAAAAGATAAGAATCTGAAATTCCGAATGCCCAGAAATATCTAAGCAGAAAAGAGGCAGAATTTGTTCCTTATTGATGCATAAATCTCTTTATTTTCAGACCTCAGAACCCAACATTTCCTTATCAAGTTATCAATCAAGGTCTGTTGTGCTCTTGTTTGTGTGTCAACTCTGTTCAGACCACATAAAAGGAACAATATGTAGACGCCCAAATCAAAAAGAAAAAGAAAAATATACCATATTTTTAACTAGTTTTAGAATATGATAAAAAATGGAAACTATTTGCTAATGTAGAAATGCTTTCCAGACGCACTATTAAAAGCTTATATTAATGAGAATTGGGCAGTAACTTTTTTTAGTTCTACGTCAACATCATCGTACGATGGTGTGATGGGTACACGAATTAAATGCTGACACCTTATTCCAACTTAGTCAGGAACGGGGCTTGTCATGTGGCTAACGTTCTTATGAAGTCAAAAATAACTCCTTGTTTTCTTCCTTTTAAAATTTTAATAAATTTTAATACAATAAATTAATATTATATGTAAATAATTTTTTTTTAAACCACACGTTCTTTCAAAAACTATTATTCCAAAATATATTTTACCCAAATTTTTCATTATAATAATTGTCAAATAGTAGCTAACCAAACATATGATGTAATAAATGTTCTAACGATACAGAATTAATGTATGTCAAGGTTTAGTTGCTCTTTAAAAAAAAATCATTTTTATGAAAGGCTAATGAGAATTCTAGAAAATCAATGTCACGCAGTTTCCAATTTAGTGTGTTTGAGCCACGTTATTCTGCCACATTATTTTGAAGGAATGTATATTAGAATAGTATATTAATGGAAAATATGTAGTTAAAAATGAGGAAATATTTTTAATTTACGTGTAATATTATTTTTTTATTAAAAATATATGATTTAAATGATGTTCAATCACTGTTTAAGAATGTATTTTTTTGAAAGAATACGGCTCAAACAGGGCCTTAATTGGCTGACTTAAAGAATTTCATCCTAATCTTTAAAGCGCCTCCAATGTTTTAATGAATTGCTAAAAGAATTCGCATAAATGAATCGTATCCAGAAAATTCATCGCCTTTACAATATAAGTTTCCGTTTGATGGTCATTATTTAAAAAAAAGATGTTTTAAATAGTGATTTTTTGGAGAATGAGTAATTAAAAAGTAGGAAAAAATTTTGAATGTACGTGCAAAATATTTTATTGTGTGATTGAAAATTAGTACGAGAATTAAAAAGTTTTGATTTAAAGTGAGACATACAGTGACTAAATAGGAGTAAAGGATTATGAAGCTGATGTGGGCATGATGACTCAGTAAAGCTTAAATTTTTAAGCTAATTTATTTTTCTCATGCAGATTTAAATGTTATGTTTCAATACTGATTTCAGTTTAAAATTTTCAAGCTTTCCATTTAGGCTATCAGTGTCACGCTGGTTTAAAGGCACAATAATTTGGTAACACTCTTAACTACTCCAATTTTGTGTTTTGGTTTTAACTTGTTAAACTAAAAATTATTCGAGTAATTTAGAAAATCATATCCTTCTATTTCCTGTCTCTATACCAGGGGCGGACCCAGCCATTTGGGTTGTGGGGTCAAAAGTTTAATACATCGTATCTTTTGCTATGATCGATCATTTCACACACCATTAAAAAGCGAAAAATTAGGCCATGATGCTTAAAAATAATATTAAGAATGCAATATTTCGTTTTCATTTGGTATGTATTAAAGTGGGTCGAAAACGAGTTTAAAAAACCATTTTTTGAAAAAAAAAAAATAAAATCCAAAATTTTGTGTGGTCATCTGACCCATGTGGGTCCACCCCTGCTCTATACCATGTCGTTATTTAAATATTTACGAACTAGTTCCAACAAAGGTGTCAGGGTGTTGGGTTAATCCGGGCCACTTGGGTGGAGGTTCGGTACGGTCCGCCCAAAGGCTCCAACATAGCCCATAATGTCGGTCATATAATGGAGATGTGATGTGCATGAACCTCGTTAATGACAAATAGTCAAATATATAGTACAAATTTAAAAAGTTATGGACAGCAATGCAAGGAAAAAGGTTAAACGCCTAATTGGTCCTTTGTGACTCCATTACATGATACGATCCGTCCCGAACCATCCTAGTGGATTTGAAATGTGACGTGTGTCGATGATAGATGCTGATTAGATGTCAAAACTATCACAAAGGCTAACTATGAGTTATTTAAAAAAATGTAACAAAATCAAATGTTTATGTAAAATACAATGCGATGGGTCCAAAATATTTACTTCGTGCTTCATCAATATGAGTTATAATATTCAACATGTCGTGTGGTTCTTATTTGGAAATCATTAGGCTCTTTCAACTAAAAAGAATCAATTTCCACTTGTAGAAAAATTAAGGGAAAATATATGAGTTGATAGCTCAGTGAGTGGAGAAATTTGAAAATAATTATACTTTTTCATTTTTACATTTTTATCGAAAATCGAGTTCATATCATTTAATAATTCACAAGATAGTATCATGTAATTATAACCAAAAGTTAAATATTCACATAAGGTCGTAAAATATCATCTTAAAATCATGATATAAATATCAACTGATAACCACGCTCTAATCTCATCACATCAAACATACTAAAAAATCCACCAAAAATGTACCCTCTGATTAAAATCTATAATTCGCCCATCGAACTAAGAACTTTCGCCATGAGCCTTTACCCCTCCGTGAACGAAGGCGGGTCTCAAGACCTCTGATAATCAATTTTAGAATACGGTCAAGACCTCTCAGTGAACTATTTATACATGGTCACGACCCCTTCATCCCCAGCCGACCCCTTAGTGTAGTATAGAACACGGCCAGAGCCCCTCTGTGAACTAAAAGAAATATATAATTACGGGTACTTTTCTGATCGATCTCAACATCATCTCTCACATAACAAACAAATCTTAATATCACATGTCTCATATACTAAGTCACAAATGTACAATAAATAATCCTTCAAATTTCACATGTATTATAATAAATGAGATTTTCATAATAATCATGTAATTCGATCACATAATTTCATATAATTACACATATTTTAACAATATACTTAATTTATAAATACTTTAAAAATATTTATATTTTTCTACTCACAGTAGTACTATGTTTGCAAAATCAACCCGATTGGTAAGTTGTCCTGATATCCGTATCACCGCCTAGAATATGATATAGTTTTTAAATCAACAGTTAATTATTTTAAGTAATTTCAATAATTAAATAGGCGATACTCAAACTTAATCATTTCGCGTTTAAGCAATTTCTAAAGTCTCTTTAATCATTAAAAGTAGTTTTTCTTTCAACTTACTCAATTTCATAATTTATTATACTTAATCCCTTCAATAAAGTTGAATTTAATCCAACAATTTAACAACTATAAAATCAAACACAACTTGACAATAAATAACTTTTTACTTACCTTTCAAAATTAAGAAATTCAAGCCTAATAATGTAGTCCACTTAATTCCTAACACGCTAGCAAAAAATTTCTATTTTTTTCTTCTTCTTCTACCCTTTTTTTACCTTTCTATTTTCCCTCTTCTCTTTCTTTGTCCCTGTTTCTGTTTCTCTCTGCGTATGTTTGTATATGTTTTAAAATGTTTTTGGATTTGTATGAGTTTGGTTAATATATATTACTCCACCGCCTACCAAGTTTGCTTTATCTTTTTTTTTTTTTTTTTTTTTTTTTTTTT